AATCTTGTTTATCTATTCTGCATATGCCTGTCAGTATCTACAAATTTTGAACTCCCAGTCTGTCCCTTCCCACTCCACCGCCCGCTTGGCAACCATGTGATTTCTAAGACCAGCTTATCAGTATGTCACGTCTTTTCCTGTGTGGACCTCAAGTTTAACTGCACGTTCTAACCAGACTCAGGCTTGTCATTCCTAGCTGCTGCCACTGCCTCTCCTGCAAATGTGTCCGCTGGGGAGCCTGGGACGTCTCTCTGGGCTCCCAGACGTGGCCAGATGTCCTTTTTCCCTCTGGGCCATGCAAGGCCAGGGATTATCTGAGCAGGAGAAGAGGGCAAGGGCCCTGACCCAGGACTGGTCCTTCTGTCCCAGACTCCTTCCTCTCCCAGGAGAAACCCCGCTTTCTTAGAAATAAAGGGCCTTGGGTAGGTGGGACCCGGGCTTTATTTTCTTGTTGGAGATTTTTAAGGCTTGCTCAGTCTCGTGAAATCAAATAGGGCTTAAGTCAGTGGCTTCCTTCTTTATTGTCACTTGCTGTACGTTAAATATTGAGAAAGTTGTGTTTTATCTGTGAAATGCACTCGCCATCATTAAAGGGAGGATGCTCTGGTGTCCATAAGATAAAGAATCAGGACGTGCAGATGTAACTCTTTCTACTCATGTGAGGCTCCACCCTTCTGTCTCTCTTACCGCAGAGCCCGTGCCCCTCCCACAGATCTTGCCGGGGTCACCATCCATTGCAGCAGGCTGGTGCAATGTCACCCTGGAGTGCAGGGCCTCAGAGGACACAGAGGACCTGAATGTGACCTGGGAGAGCAGGGGCCTGGAACACAGAGTGACACCAGGACCAGCCCCCAACCCCTGGACCCTGGCTGTCAGCCTGCCCCTGAGCCAGCCTAGCCCCAGCCTCTCCTGTGTGGTCAGCAACCAGGTGGACCAGAAAACTGCCACGTTAGACCTTGGGGAAGTCTGTGCCCATGGTGAGTGCATGGGGCACTCTCAGAGGTCAGACAGCACTGGGGCGAGGGCTCTGGGCTTTTCTCCTCTCCAAGCTATAAGCACCACCTTCCACCTGATCATCCCGTACAGAGGTCTGGAAGGTACATCCAACTTGTCTCTGTTTTTCAAGGTGTCTCGCATCCATGCCCACATCTCCACCTCTTGCCCATCCTGCTCCAGGGCAGTACTTCTCCCACCCCATCCATTATCCATACTGCGGCCACTGTCATCTTTTGGAAGAGAAATCGGGTTGGGCTACTGACCTGTGTTGTCTGGAGAAGTCTGACCCAGTGACTCCCTGTAGGAGTCCAGGCTCAGAAGCTTCTCTGCCCATGTTTCTGGCCTCACCTGCACGCTTCACAGTGAGCTGCTTGCCTGGAGTTTTCAGATATGTCCTGCTATTGCAACCTTTAGCCTCTGGAAATGCTGTTTCCTCCACCATCATTCCTCCTGCCCTTGGCCTTTGCGTCCTGACTTACTTTTATGGAAGGATCCCCTCAGGCACTGCTTCTTCGGGGGTGTGTGAGCAGGACAGTCACAGAGCGCCCTGCGCCTGGTTGTGGTTAATACCGTGTGAACAAAGGGCGCGTCCGTCTCATGTAGCCCACGGCCTTGCAGGCGCTGCCGTTGCGCCGCCCTCGGGCATCACTCCCTTAAGAGGCAGCCTGTGGCTACCCCACACTGAGTAGCTGTGCTCTGTTTATAGATTTGTCTGGATCACCTTGTGGACAGGGGCCATGTCTTGTTCTCTTGTGAATCTGCGTCCCAAGCAGAGCTTCTGGCAAAGTTTGCTCACAGTTGCTGTTTCAGTGAATGCATGAATGACCTGGTACCCTGTGTGCAGTCTCGCCCCTCTAACCCATCCTCCACGAGCTGCTGGGGGGATCTGATGTGTCAGCATCACTTAAAATCCCATGTTACCCACCCCACCCCGGGCCCCATCCTGGAGCCTTAGATACAGCTTAGCACTCAGCATGACCCACAAGACCCTTTGGAAAGAGACTCCTTCCTCCCTCTGATCCTCCTTGCCCAGCTCCTCCTTGCCCTGTCCCCGCTCCCTGCTGCAGCAGGGTGTTGGCCACTCCCGGGGCTGGTGATTCCACACAACCATTCTCTGAATGTGGTGCTCCTCCTTCCGGGAATGCTGTGTCCACCCTGAATATCTGTGAAACTCCTACTCCTCCCTCGAGACTCAGTTTACGCATCACTTCCTCTGGGAGGCCCTCCCTGAAGACGTGTACAAGTTGTAATCCTCTATTGCACTGCAATGCCCTTGGCTGGCAGACTTTGATATTTTCTCAGTCATCCTTCTGGGTGGCCACGTCTTGTTCATCTCAGTATCCCTAGAATCAAGCAGGAGCTCAGGACGCGGTTGAATGAATAAACCTTCCCTGCTCCTCCCTCTTCAGCTTCTGAACCAGGACCCTTGAGACTCCTTCACCTGCTCTCCCTCTCTGTCCCCTTGGCAATGGGTATCTCAAGTTCTACCTTTCCTTTACCTTTCTTCACTCTCTCTGTTTGAGGAAAACAGATTCACATGGACAGGTCAGGGCTAACCTCCTGCCAGGCATCCTAGGAGCCACTGTGGCTGTGCTGCTGATCCTCGGAGGTGGACTGTGTCTTTGGAAGACACAAAAGAAGAAGGAGAAGATGAAGACTAGAAAAGGCAAGTTGCATTTGCCCCTCCTGACTCAGATGCCTCCCTCCCCCACTGGACCCTTGGTTCCTCTCCTGTACTTTGCTGCTCAGGGAAGATCTCAGCACAGGGGATGGTGGGTGTGACCATGGCCTTTGGATCATAGCTTTGGTGGAAGGTACAGATATTCAAACCCCAGGCTCAAGCTTCACTTTGTGTATGACTCGGGTACAGAATTGCAGGAGGACCACAGGGACCATGATGGTGGCATCGAGTATGCAGAGCTGAGCCAGTCGGAATCTCCAGAGGGCACATGCAAGGTGAGAGCTGGGAGCTGTGTCCAGCCTGGACCTTTCTGGATCTCTCCATGTCTCGGTCTGGGCCTGTCAAGCCTAGTCATCTGCCTTTCCTGGCCCCACTGTGTCCAACTTTTTCAGGACAGTCAATGGTATTTGCTAAGAAAATGTATAACTGGGGTCAGTGTAGCACTGGGCACGTTGGCCAAATTCACATGCAGTTCATGTCAGCAGCACTGATTTCATGTGATCCCTCTGGGGCATCCCTCAGCTGTTCTAGGAACCCTCTGTCTTGCATTCCTAGGTTATGAGTGAACAACATCTCGGAGAAAACGAGGCCCTCAATACTGTCTACAGTGAGGTCCACAAGCCAGGTAGGCCATGAAGATAATTTAATTGGAGGAAGCAGAAGACTCAGCACTCTTAGGACTCCTCCACTCTGAGCTTGATCCTTGCTGACACCTGCCTCCTCCAGCTCTGGTCCAGCTCCAGCTGCCCCTGGTCTGTGTTCTCTGATCCTCCTGCCCTCAACTGTCTGGGCACATGTGGCCCTGTCACTTCTTCTGTCACCTCCCTCAGCTGCTCTCCCACTCAGGATCCTCACACCTGTAGGACAAGTGCTCTTTCTCCATCATTGACTCAGCTCCTGACCCGTCTCCTCCTGATGCTTCCCAAAGAAGACCTCCCTGACTGTGCATGTGTTCATCCCCACAGCCTCTGCCGTGTGGCTGGTGTACATCCTTCTGAGAAACCAAGTGTAGAGGTGTTGGCCATGCCATAGAGGAGGGGGTTATGGCCTAGTGCTGGATGCTGAGTTGGTGGTCCATGGAGGCAGCGTGGGCAGGTGGGAGCCCACAAAAGACTATCCTTCTGTCCCTTCCAGCTCTGTTGGCCTCAGACCCTAGACCAGCCTCCTCTTTGCTCACTCACATCTCTCCTCCCAGAATGACAGTTCCCTCTCCCTGCTCCTTGCTCTCATTTCTGCCTGTTGAAATCCTGCCATGCTGACCAAAGTACCCTTCCAAACCATGCATCCTGCGGAGCTTGTCTTGTTCCCAAAGGTTTGGAAATCGTCCCTGCCACACCTGACTTTTTCAAACACCTTGGACATAACTAAGATCCCTGCCACAGTCTGCCCTGCATTGGACATGACTCTTACCTGCAGGACTCACCTGGGGCTCCCTCAGGAGGGTTGGGGGTTTAGGAGGCCAAGACCAAGGAGACAAGAACCACTCTCTGTGAAGGATCTGGGCCACCCTTCCTCCCACTCCTACAGGGGCTCAGCAGACTGAGACCCAGAGCACAGAGGCTGCTGAAGGTCTTTCTGAAAGTGAGACCACATGGAAGGAAGGGTAGATGAGATCACCTCCCCTGACCCTGTTGGCCCAGAGACCTGAAGAGGGGGTTTCCTATCCCCCCTCCAGCCTCACATAGTCTGAGGTCCTGGTGCAGCCTGCACTGTGGTATGTGGGAGCTCCTCCTTTCCCTGGGGGGTCCTCACCTCCTCAAAGCCTCTGCCCCCTCCTTTGGGTCACAGCTGTTGGGTCAGAGATGGAATCACTCTGGTATTACAATCTGTGGTACATGGTCTGCTGGCCTGGATTCCTGGGTCTCTTGGCTCCTCTCCCAGCTTAGCAAGCTCAGCTGCTTCATCTCTGACCTCAGAAAGCAAAGTTCTGAGCTGAAGACATGAGCATTATAAAGCAATGTTATGATCCTGCTGGATGGTGCAGGGATAAGAGAGGCTCAGGGTTTCCATAACAAGGCTGTTTATAACCTCTTTCCACTCAGGCTGAACAGAAGGCTGAGAGAGAAGAAGGTGACAACTCTCACTGGCATTGCAGGTGAATAGCCTTGGCTGGGCATCAGTGCCCATCAGCCCAGAAGCAGTGTGTCAGGGAGCACTCATTCTAGGCTGTAGTTTAAAGACAAGTGGGTATTGAGGCCTCAAAGTATAAGTTGTGATCCTGTTATGCAAATACTATCATTATTCCCAGGAAACTGCAGCACTGATAAATTAATGACCTTGCTCAAAGTCACGTAACTGATAGATGATAGTGCTAGAATGGAAATCTTGGAATTGAATTCTAAAGCTCTTGCTCTCACCACTGTATACTCTACCCTTGTGATGGAGTACTACTTATGTAATAAGAAGAGTAAACTACATCTTTATGTATTTGAATAGGAACTTGTCCATGAAATATTAGATGAGTTATGACATGTGTATATAATTGTAATTATATACAGACATATGTGTATATGGGCACAAAGCAGTCTAAAAGCTGTGATTGTATTTTCATTTTCATTTGTCTCAAGGTATTTTTTAATTTCAACTTTAATTTCATCATTGACTCATTGTTTCTTTTAATAGCATGTTGTTTAATCTCCATGCTTTCCTTTTTTTCTCTATATGTATGTTCATGTATAACTGAAAAATTGTGCTCTACACTAGAATTTGACAAAACATTTTAAAATGACTATAACTCAATAAAAAATGTTAAAAAAAATGATCTAAAAGCTAAATAGGTCTAGAAGTTGACAGTGGTTACCCTCTGGGGTGTGTCTGTTCTGTATCATCGGATTCTTTATAACACTAATCAAAACAAAGATTATCTATTAAATTTCTTGGGCAGGGCAGTGACGGGATCAGAGCTGTGCTTCTGATAGATAAAGCCACACACGTGCCAACAGGAAGCTTAGCATTTTGGAAACCAGTTAACGTACTTAGGCTCATTTTCACTTTCTGTTGTGTTGATTGATGCCTTCAGGGTCTTTACTGAAATAACCCAAAAATGTCTAAATCTGTCTATATAGTACAAGCAAAGTGAAAATTTCTGTCGAATTGATCCAAATGGACACTCCCCATGAATTGCTTACAACCCAGGCTATTCACTAGATCAACTAGAGAGCTTTTAAGAAAAGGTGCTTGGACAAATTCCAATGTAGAGCACAATGTGTCTGTTATACATAAGCATACACATATTCATTATCACATTTTTTTTTGCTATGAGCTACCACAAGATCTTGTAAATATTTCCCTTTGCTATAAAGTATAATCTTGTTTATCTATTCTACGTATGCCTGTCAGTATCTACAAATTTTGAAATCTCAGTCTGTCCCTTCCCACCCCCCTCCCCCTTGCCAACTATAACTCAATATAAAAATGTTTTAAAAGAGAAAAGAACAGATGCTTGGACCCTATCTTGAAACTGAAACTGGGCACCATCTATATTTTAAAAAACTCAATAGATGATTCTGATGCATAATCAAGCTTGAAAACTGAAAGCTTTGGTCTGCATGAAGTCTTCAAAAGTCTCTTCAAAAATGGGGACATACCTGGCAAAGAGAGGTTGAGAGTTTGCCAAGATGTTTCTCGGTCTGTGCTAGTACATAGGCCAGTAAATGTTGGGTGACTGAAGGAATGGGCGAATGACAACACCCTATGGGCGGGTATTACAGTTGACCCCTGAGCAGTCAAAATTCTGTGCGTAAGTTTACAACTAGCCTTCCGTATTCACAATTCCGCATTCACAGATTCAAGCAATCACGGATCATGTAGCCCTGCAGTAGTACATGCTCACTGAAAAAAAAAACACAGCATATAAGTGGACTGGTGCAGTTCCAATTTGTGTGGTTTTCAAGGTTCAACTGTACTTTGATGTGCCCACCAAGGTCTGGCATGTAGATTCTGAACCAGAACCCAGAAGCTCCATTTCATCCACTGCCCAGTGCTGATTTACCTTGGGGATGCAAAATCTTGATAATAAATGTTAAAGGACACTGATAGGCAAAACCAGAATGTTTGTTTATTATTTGCAGTGAGACGTATCCTTGATAACTGGGCTGGATATCCCTGTTAGCCTGACGAAAACATCCTCTTCTCAAAGAAAGGCAACATGGGAAACCACTAGGCTGCTTGGGGAGCCCTGAGTCAGGACAGGTGAACAGATGCTGCTGGTCTGGATTCCAATGACCATCTGGTCTAAGTCCTCCACCTCCATGGTGGGATGTACCTGCCCAGGACATGAGGTTCTCCTGCCAGCTTGACTGAGCACTTCATTTGTCTCTGTCACTCACCTCTCTTTATGCCCCATTTCTTGTTAACCATCCTTTTGATTGACATAGTCTTTCTTTGGTCATGTGCATTTGTGAGATTAAGTCTTGCCCTGGTTTCAACTGGAATCATTGTAGCTGTACTATAATCCACATATGTGTGTTTTATTTAATCTCTAAAAGTTAAAAAAAATCCCCTCAAATCCATCCTCATTTCTCTCATTTCCAAATTGTAGTAGAGAATGTGGAGTGTGAAGACACCCCCTCAATACACCACATACCACCAGCTGAGTTACCAAGTTGCTTTTGTAAACAGACCCGAAGAGTAAAGCTGTGTTAATGAGCTCCTGTAGCTCTCAGGGCTGGAATGTTTACCTAGTTTATCACCTAACCTTTCAGCAAGATCCTCTCATATTTATAACAGCAAAACAACAATAACAACAAGAAAAAACTTTAAGAGAATGTAGTGTATTGTTAATGTCTATTCAGTTTTAAATCTTTTTAAAATGGAAAATTTCTTTAAAAATGTAAAATTGCTAAGATCGATTTACACGTGCATACAAACCTCAAAAAGTGAACACAGAAAACATTGTGTAAAGGAGTATTTTGTCCTTCGAGGGCATGAGAGACAAAACCTATTACTGGTGAATTCTTCACATATTTAAAGAATAGATAATTTTTGTGCTAACAAATTTGTTTTAACACTTGCCAGAAGATAGAAAACATTCATTTATGATTCAGAAAACTTGACAAAGCATGAAAAAGGAAATAAAGTCCCAACCTAGCTGTCCGGGCTGCTTGGACGCTTGTCACTTCCCTTCCTCTGCTGGGGATTTTTCTTGTGAGTTGAATTTCCAGCTTCCCAAGGAGCCTGAGGAGCAGAAGAGCTTTTGCCGGCATCCTCCACAGTAATGGGAGTAAGAATAGAGATCTAGTCTCTGTTGGGTCAGAAACAGAGCTGGGAGTGAGAAGCTTCTGGGTGATGGATCCTGGGCTGGCCACGCTCCCTGCAGTGGGCTGACTCAGTACAAGGCCCTCTCCTCCAGCTGGTGGTTCTGGGGAAACTGGGACTTTGGGGCTCGAAATAATCCCATGTGATTTTGCCAAAAGGGATTCCTAGAATCTGAGAATGTACGTGTTGGAAGAAAACTCACTGTGGGGTCTGACCCTGTCCTGAGCTTTATAACTACCCACCAAGTAATTGCACCTGTGGTTACACTCTACCAGTGACCAGTGACATGGACCTCACTGTGCTCCAAAGCATCTACGTCAGTTTTGGAGGACTCTGACTATAGGAAATTCTCCTCTAACGTCAGCTGTCAAAACCTGCCTCTCCTATTTGCTCATTACAGACATGATTCCTTGTCCACTCAATGGCTCTTCCAGTGGGATTTAGAGCAGAGCAGAGGTAGACCGCAGCGGCCGGTACAGCTGATCTTTGCTTTTCCTAAAAGCCTCAATTTCACACCATCCTATAATTTCCTGGGCACATGCCACCTTTACTGTCTCTGATTCCTATCTCATCTGGTATTGTCCCAAAGGGCTAGGGAGGTTGGAATCACATTTTCCAGCACCAACCTACTGTACCCCTAATCTCCTGGGAAAGGAATGTCCATAGAGGTGAACACACTGTCTTTGCTGGGCACTCACTCTCTTGATCCCAACAGATTTCCCCAAAGTCTAGGGTGGCAGTTTTCTGGTCCACATGGTTATTGCCCACACAGGTGAGACTGGGGTTGGGCTAGCTCAGGGGTAGGCTCAGAGCCTGGTCTCAATGTCCCTCTGCTCCAGGTTCCTGGGGAGGCCCTTATTCACCTAGGTCACATTCAGATCTTCTGTGGTCCCTGTGACCCTGGTGCTCCAGAGTGACATTGTACCAGCCTGATGTGGTAGATGGTTAACTGGCCAGGATCTGGGGAAGGGACATGGGCTCTGGGGCAGGAGGGAACAAAAGTTATAATTGCATTTGTAGAGCATGGTACTCACCCATTATTGTGTGGATTCAGAGCGGCCATCTGGCAAGGCAGGGCATTTCACAGCCAAAGAAACTAAGACCTAGAGGGGTGAAACAGTTTGCCAAGATTATACAATGAGAAAGTGATACCGAATCTCAGTTTTAGAGAAGGAAAGGCAGCCAGTCTGTTAATGCTGGAACCCTAGCTGTCACCACACACAGCTGAAATCACATCTGCTTCCCTCCACACACATTATCAGATCCTTCACAACCTCCATAGCACTTGGGGGGATTAATCAAACTTCCTGGGCAAATACCCTCCATGTGCAGAATTTTGAAAGAAGCTTCTGAAAACTGGCTTGAGACTCTTAACCCTCTCTCGCCCACATTTGGAGATGGGAAGAGAATTTCTTTGGAGAGAGCTGTGCTGCCATGAGTCCCCTTCTAACCTAATAGGTGCCTGCCTTTCACCTCAACATGGTGAGAGGGGCTTCAGTGAGACCATGCAGAGAGCCGGATGTATGTCCCCTGCAGCTTGGGGATGCACTGGACAGGTGTCTGATTTAAATCTGAGAAACTGAAGGGGAGAAATGCTGCTGAAACATCCTATAGTAGAAAAGTATTGGCTTCCAGTTGAGAAGAAATTGCAAAAGCATCCGTGAGTCCAATGAACACGTTTTTCATCAACTGCAAGTAGGACCTTAAAAGAACTTTGACAAGAGGTGCGTCTGGAGAGGCAAGAGAATTCCAGCAGAGAGCGTCTATGGGGAAATGAACCAGCCAAGACAAGCAGCCGAAGACAAAGACAAAGATGGCCTTCCTGAGAGTGTGTCACCTCACTTGTCAGGACTGTGTGACAAGGTAGGTGAGATATGTCCAGTGTGTGAGAAGAGAGGTATACAAGGAAACTGCAAGCACCCTGTGAGAGGATCAGCCGAAACACTGTCACGCTGGAGGACCCACGTGCTTCATCTCCACTACAGGATGAGCCAAGGAAAGTCAGCCCTGTAGCCTCCAACCTCCATCCTCCTTACTACTCCTCACTGCCTCCCTGTCCTTGTAGAGCGGGGAGAGAGCTTGGTCTTCTTGCCATTCTCTGTGATCCCTGTGGGCCTTTGCCAGGGAGCTGTGCCCTGGTCTTTGGGTCTGACTCTCTGCCTCTGCTACCTCTGCTGCTGAGGCAGTGTGGGTGACACTGGTGATGTGCTTGGTCCCTGCCACAGCTTCCTCCACAGTGAGGTCCCTGAACTCTGACCCTTCTTATTCTGAACTCAGGTACTTTCTGGCCCATGGCCCCTCTCAGCACCTTATCTCACCTGTAGGAGCCCACAAGAACTTCTGGACCTCCCTAACATGGAACACAAGCTAAGGGTGATTTGTAGCCCTTCTAGGAGCCCTTTAAGGTCCCAACACACTGTGGCCCAATTTACTAAACGTGGATCCCTGGGAGGAGGCACTACCCTCCCAGATAAGGGAGGAGTGGGGCCCAGCGTCTTCTGCTTTTGCGTCCCTCCTCATCCTGTCTGGACTTCCCATCACCTGGCTTGCTCTTCACCAGCCACACAGCTCTCTTATGCTGAGCCCCTTGGGAATGGCATGTCACATTTCTTTTATGTTTTAATTACAATCTCATTCTTAATGCATTTAAAAATAATTACTTAACCCAGAAAGATATATAAAACCACTCTCATATTCTGCCTGGCATCTTTTTAGTTTGTGACTTGCCAAATGAACTCTATTCCCTTAGTCTACAGTCTTTGGTTTTGGAGCAAACAAATCTCTTTTGTTCTATCAATAAAATATGGCTCTTGCCTATTTTGGAAGTCAAAACATGAATACGGATTTGCACATTCTCAGGGGGTTCCTGGCCTCTGCCTGAAACAATAGCTGTCTCAGCCCCAAGAGTTGGAGAGTGTGGGGAGCAAGGATTGCAGGAGTGGAAAAATACTTTGGAACCCTCCAGACAAGAAGACACTGAGCTAATTCAGGAGCTCCTCCTCACACCCTGAACATACAATAAAACTTGATGAAATGTAACTAAAAGGTTTGATTATGTTACTTAAGTTCAGAAATAAAAAAGAACTCATTGTTGAAGAGGTGAGTAGAATTTGAAGTTCTGGTGTCCCAAGGGGTTATCAGAACCAGAAATGTACCTCAGAGGCCAAAGTTAAATGTCTCTAAGGGGGGAAGAAGTGTAAGTATGTCCTTGAGTTTGCAGGGATGCTGCACAAAGCTGGATAAGAGGCTGGGTGAATTAAGGTAACGTATTTGTTTTCTGTTCTGGAAAACTAGTGTTGGGGGCCGCAAGTGGCCCTCTTTCACGAGAGGAATGTGAGAAATTAGAATCCAAGCCTGCACTGTGCATGGTCGTGGATGTGAATTCTCACTATGTGCTGGGAATCAGCGTCCAGAAACTACCTTAAAAATAGGTGAAGCTTATAAGGCCCAAGCTGGGGAAATACTAAACTGACTCGTGGGGAGACTTCCACAATGGGGCACATGCGTGGACAAACTGTTCAAAGAGATTAAGGAAGGAATCAAGCCTATAATGCAAAAATTAATATTTGGAAGAAATAACAGACATAAGGCAGTGGGAAGAAGTAGAAAGTCTGAGCAAAGAAATAGGTAAAAAACACTGGTAAATTTAATGGATTTAAAAGATATTTAGAAAATAAAATTGAGAAGACTTACTGAAGGGTTGGCTATGGAGTTGAAGTAGAAAAAGATGTCAAGGTTGACAGTGTGGATGGTGGCATCATGCACTGGAGTAGGAGACACTCGAGGAAGACCAGGCTCAGGTGCTCAGTTTTGTACGTATTGAGTGTGAGAGGCCTTTGAGACATGCAAAGGGAGCAGTCAACATATTTGGGTTTAAAAATTTAGAGCTGAAAGGTCTCTAGACCTAAGGCTCAGAAGATACTGGAGGGCCATGCCCCAGGGGACCACATTCATGCCTTTGGGTGGAGATCCAGCATGGAGCTCTGTCACTGCAAGGTTGAAATTCCTGAAAGCCTTTTGTAGAGAACAAGATGCAAAGATGTTCAGGGGAGGGAAAGATGACTTCCAGTTGGTGGTTTCAGGAAAAACTTCATGAGCAAAGTGTCTTGTGGACTGCTTCTCCAGGATGGATGGAGCATCCCAGTCCCTTCAGCTCCTCTTGAGGTGACCCAAAGAGGCCACCTTCAGGACCTACATCAATAGGGTTAGTATAGCCTGTTTCTACTCTGGGCCACCCATGTCAGTCTCCTCCCAAATTCAAGGCTCCTTCTTCTGTCTGTTCTCATCCACATCCCCCACCTTCCTGCTGCTTGTCCAGTCCAGGAGGCAGTTTGACCAATGCTTTCAACATACTGCCCAGCAGACCATGCCCTCAGGTGGACACCCTGACATGGGTCAATGGGGTTTAGACTGAGAAGAGATGGGTGAGATTCGCTGCAAGGGAAAGGTCCCTCCAAACTAGTCGTTGCCCAAGTGGCCCAGCTGGTCCCAGGACGTAGTGCTCACAGATCAGTAACAAGAGAGGACAGAAGTCCATGCTAACCCTCTCTGGGCTCCAACTCCCTCCATTAGGCACCCACGGGATTTGGGGTGTCTGAGGGTCACTGATGTCTTGAGGAAGAGGAATCCAGGCCAGCCCGTCCC